TACGAATTGCCAAGACTGAATACGGGTGGAAGGCCGCACGAGATAAAATCAGTCGTTATCTCGGCGGATTGCCATAAATTAATTAGCGGTTAAGATTAGAAATATTACGTTAAGGTTAGGGATTAAGGTCTTTCAGTCCCGAGAATCCAGGGGAACCGATCCTGAGGAGGTAAACATGGTAGAATTAATTTTAGGGATGGGGAATTAATTCAAATTTGAATTAATTCCCCCGCGAAGGGCTTGACCTAGAGTAAGGTAGAGGGATCCACCAATCGACACCCGATCGATTGGTAGGCGTGATTAGGGGGTCAGCGCAACGCGACACTGACCTCCGAAAATCAGTTACGTGTTAACCCCGAGATAAGACACACGTGAGTGAGAAGTGAGACATCAAGGACTCAGACCAGGACATTCCGGAATACGAGGGAAATATTACCGCCCCAGGATGGTCCTGAAGAAAAAGAAAAGGACAGCGAGGAGGTCTACTGTGAGTTTTTACGGTTCTAATTAGAGATTTTTCCCCTTTTTGGCGGCTCCCCGATAATTATTGGCGGTTGTGATATTTTCCCGAGCCATGGAAATGGCGTCGGTTGTGTCCCCCAAATTTTGGATGGTTTTGGAGAGGTTTGTGGAGGGTTTTCCGAATAATTTCGGTTCAAATTATCCCCCAGTGCGGTTGGGAGGTTATTGGTGTGAATTTTGGGAGATTTTTAGGGGTATTTCCGTGGCGGTTCTAAGGGAAGAGGTCCACGGCCAACGAACAAGGCCCGTGGTTTTCCCTCGTGGCGCAATCGAGGCCGCCACGAGTGGCTGTATGCAACAGGTGGGAAATCGCGCGTTAGATTTCCTCGTGATTATTAATTGTTTTAAGGGGACTAGTTATGCGTCCTTACGCCTGAAATTTTGTGGGGTTGTGGGGGAGAAGGTCCCGAGCCAAATGGTTCAGGGTTTTCCGGAATCTGCCGAGCGGATTCCGAGTTATGGATTTTTTAGTAAAGTTAGATGTTTTTGGGGATTTCTCCTCGTTGCTAACCGAGCAGCGAGGCATAGTGCCGTCTCTCTCGCTCTCTCTCTCACTCGCGCTCACTCGTTTAGGGGTCCGATTCCGGGAAATTATCGATTTCCCGGGCGAAAATAATATTTCGGTTATTCCTCGGATTATCGCCAATCGATAATCCTTGAGGCCACATTCCGATGAGATTATGGGATATTAGTATGGGATGTTCAGCGATATATTCGGTACTTGTTAAATAGTTTATTAATAATATGTGATTTTTAATTTTTGATATTGAATATTGGATATTGATTTTGAT